GGGTTAGGGTTTAGGGTCTATAGGGTTTAGGGTCTAGGGTTTGGGGTTTGGGGTTTAGGGCTTTAGGGTTTTAGGGTTTAGGGTTTAGGGTTTGGGTTTAGGGTTTAGGGTTGCGGCGGCATAACAGCCTACTAATGATAACGCTTTCAGACGGACAGTCGACCGCTCTCGACGTCTTAAGTTACCAACATAACTATAATCAGAACCTTAAACTCACAATAGCATACGATGAATGCAGGGCTTCGTTAGGGGTTCCATCAGGTATTTTGTTGCAACAACTTGTGGCGTCTTTTCTTCAAAGAGGGCTTTGGCAATTGTGGCTAGGGATGAAACGTAAAGCGTTTGGCGGGCTTGAGATGCCCTTTTCATTCCTCTTCCTTCATAAACCTTGCAACCCCTGACTGGCTTGACTAATAGCCTGAACAAGACCCAGCAGCACCTACAAAAAAACCCTAAGCCCTAAACCCCTAAACCCCTAAACCCCTAAACCCTAAACCCTAAACCCTAAAGCCCAGCTGAAAGAAGCCTACTAGCAAAAAGCCAAATCCAAAGGCAACCCTCGCCACGACCTGTTCCAAACCCTAAAGCCCCCGTTACCTTAGGCTGTCTGGTGCTTAGTAGGGAATGGGGGCATGGATCCCTATGATAGTCCCTTAAGGTCCCTTATAGTAGTTCCTATAACCCATTCCCCCATTCCCTACTAAGCAACAGACAGTAGGGGCTGGGTAGCTTAGCCCCACAAAAGGCTCACCTTCTCAATTATAGTAGGATTTTTGTTTGAGCCCAAAAAAGGTAACCTTTTTCAATTATAGTAGGATGTTAGAAGCCCCAAAAACCTAAAGGTTGCCTGCTCAGCACATAAGTAATAGGAACCCTAAACCCTAAACCCCTCAACCCCTAAACCCAAACCCTAAACCCTAAACCCTAAACTCTAAACCCTGAACCCTAAACCCCAAACCCTAAACACTAAACCCTAAACTCTATAAACCCAAAACCCCAAACCCAAAACCCCTAAACCCCCAAACCCCTAAACCCCGAAACCCTAAACCCTAAACCCTGAACCCTAAACCCTAAACTCTAAACCCTAAGTAACAGGAGCCCAGCGACAGGAGCTCTCGGCCGTCGGCTCGCCACTCGACGCTGTCCGCTCCAACGCCGGCGCACGCTGTGGCGCCGCAGCCAGCTCCTGGTAGGGTTTAGGGTTTAGGGGGTAGGGGTTTAGGGTTTAGGGTTTAGGGCTTCGACGGTTTAGGGTTCAGGGTTTAGGGTTTCGAGGGTTTAGGGTTTCGACGGTTTAAGGGTTTACCCTAGCCCCCCATGTACCTACTATATAGGGTACTAGAGCCCCTACGGGCCTATATAGTAGGTACCTGGAGGGTTAAGGTTTAAGGGGCTTCGGGATTCAAGCCAAACTACATCACAAGAGTGGAGGGCTCGAGGGGTTTGCAGATTTCTATTTTGCCTCGCGCATGGCAAGGGCGAACCTGCAAAACAGGAGGGCTGAGGGTGCTCGGGGTTTCGGGGTGTAAGGCTTTCGGATGTACTGAGAACGTACTATACCTATAGTCTCCATTGTAGTTCCTTTTTTGGTTTAACCAATTATTATGTATTAAGGATTTTATAAGGTATCCCCAAAAAAGAACTACAGTGGAGACTACAGGTAAAGTGCAATGCACCTTACTGTCCTGTATCCTGCAGGCGCTAAGGTTTGAGTATTTTGAGTTAGGCTCCTCCTCAGGCAGCGACATGGCCGCGTCGATTTGTCGGCCCTAGTAGTCTGTTTTAGGATTGCCGGCACCCCGGCGACTTGTGCAGTAGATTGAATTAATATCCTCTTTTAGTCGATTCTATTCTAGCATCATACCATGCTGTAAGTGTACACATATCGCAGTTATGCACGTAAGTACATACAGACAATTCAGGCTCACAGAACTCCAATCTCCAGGAACATACGGAACAACATGCTTGAAGTCCTTGGGATGCGTTTCATGTGAGATCTGAGCTGCGGCGAGAATGGCCTGTGGGTTTGGGCCCTGTGCCTCAGGCCGAAGCTCTACATCCTCAGCTTGAAGAGCGATCATACGGTGGTGATCATAATCATAACTTCTAGATTCTAGATAAGAACACGAAGGATAGTAGTAACATTGTTTATGAGACTTATAACGGTACCAAAAATGGTTCGAAAAATCAATGCTACTAATAGCAATAATAGTAAGAACAAGAATAACAATAATGGCAAACCGTTGCACCAGCGCGCATGCAAAATCCTAGGTTCCGTGGTTGATTGCAGGCTTCCGTGAAGCCGTGAAATGCAGGTCCTCGCAACCACTGGAGGCATCGTTGCATACGAAGGCTTGTCGAAGCAGCAGGACTTTTCATGTTGGGAGCAAGGTTTGGAGTGTGTGGTCGAGGTGGGGGGTGGGGGCAATCTGTTTTAAGCGAACAGCCAAAATTTAATGGAGCAGTACTACTAAGCACTTCAAGCAGCCTCGAACTCCGGAAATGGCCAGTAGGCTAGAGGACCTCAGAAACCCCGATCATAACAGGGCATAAACTTAAAGTCCTCTTCCCTAAGCTCTGACTCTGACCAGCCTACTGACGATGTAGGAGCCTTATACTTGGAATGGGATGTAGGAGCCTTATACTTGGAATAGGGTCCATGATGGTACAACCATAGGAAAAAAGGGATATGGAATAGCCCTAAACCCGAAACCCAAGTATTCCGACCCACATAAAATAGGGGCCGAAATAATTACCTGTGCTATCTTGGGGGTTCCTTATTACAATTATGGGCCCCAAGACCCTATTCTAAGTATTCCGGCCCTAAACCCTAAACCCCAAACCCAAAACCCGAAACCCTATTCCGGCCCACCTAAACACCCTTACAGAATCCCTTGGGAACCTCCGAGGATGCCTTTCCAGGCCTTCTAGGGCGCCTTAATAATTAGAATAAGGGTTTGGGGTTTAAGGTTTAGGGTTTAGGGTTTAAGGTTCTCGGCTCCTGTATAGTATAATTTATAAGACTATAATTATAATAAGGAGCTCTGGGAATAATACTGCCGATTATTCAGGCTTCCATATTGCCACCACTTCTTCGGCTGACAGCAACCTTTGTGTAACCCTACAATCTACCAAAAGCCCTGCACCCTAAATCCTGCAGGAGCCCTTACAGGATCCTGCTACAGAATCCGGAAGTTGAGCCCTGATCAAACCTAAACCCTAAACCTTCAACCCTAACTCCTGAAGGAACCCTTAGAGGAACCCATTACAGAAGCCTTAAAGGAGCGCTAATCATCCCAGATCTAACTATTCAGGCACCGAACTTCGGCGCCACCCATCGGCCAAATACTCGGCTGCAAGGCCCGGCCTAGTGGAAGATTCACGAGCTCCCACCCTTAGCTGCAAGGTTTCGAGTCACACACTCGCAACTGCAGGCATGGTAACAAGTGTCCGAGATTGCTACGTGCAAGGTATAGGGTTTACACTCTCAAAACTCGGACAAGCCAGGCGAGGTTTAGGGTTTAGGGTCATGATTTGTTGTTGTAAACATCCCTTCTTTTCCTTGGGGGGTTTAGGGCTTAGGCGCTGAAGGGTTTAAGGGTTTAGGGTTTAATCATCCCTAAACCCTAAACCTTTAATTGGGGCTATGGCTTAGATGTGGGCTGCAAGGGTAGATCGGTTTAGGGTTCAGGGCTTAGTGTGGTACAGTAATGGAGGGCCAGTCATACTTAGATTATAGGATTTTGGGGTGTGCTCTACGAAAATCTAAACGGCTATTTTACAAATCGCTCCGACCATTTTTTTAAACCCAACTTTTTCCATAAACCCGGAGCCACCCATCTCGAAACGAGAAACACCCAAGTGCTTTGGGTGATTGTAGATCCCCGAAAGAGCACCGCGATGACCAGGACGGACATGAAGCCCAGGACCACCATCACCACGACGACCACTAGGACGAGGGAGATTCGCAAGGACACCCAAATCGTTTCCTCCAAGTTCCACTAGGATCTAAACTTTTTGGCAGGCAAATCGAGTCCATGCATTGCAAGTTACGACATCTGGATCTCCTGGGCACGTGGCCGCCTGGATCCTGGGTACTTGTATGCACCGGAGTTTAGCCGTAGCCGTGTGCCGCACGGATCCAGTAATTTCATACGAGCAGTGACACCACCGGATCAGCGAGGCTATTGGCGCCGGTGCCGGGAATACTGTTCAGTTGTTTTATACACTGAAGGTAAAGAACCCCAAGCTACCGCACATAGCGTTTGGGGAATAGAGATCCTTGATAAAATGCTAAGCTTGGGGCCTAGTGTTTAGGGACATTTAGTGGACAATACTCGCAAGACCCCCAGATGTAGATGAAGACTCTGGAAGAGGTCCTCGTTTGGACCTCACCCACGAAAACCCTAAACCTCAGTCACTGGACACTAAAAGCTCCACGGGGATCGCTTGCCAACGAACCACCACAGGAACCCATAATAGTAGCAACCGGTAAGTCAGGGAGGCCCCAACTCCACAGAGCGAACAAACCAGTAAGACTAGTGTTTAGTTAGGCGAAAAAGAGCAACCAGTGGAAAGGGTGCAGTTAAACAATTCCACAGCAGGAGCCATCCAATTGAGGGCCTAGGTAGTGCTGGTAAGGTTTACATAACTTATAGGGCCGGGGTTGAGGGATTCTTTGACGAACCCAACAAGACTACACCCCAGTCGGGCTCCAAAACTCTCACGCTAAGCCAAGCAACGCAGGAAGTCCGATCGGTTGGTCCAGAAAAGGAATGTGAAGGTATCCTGAACGCCCAGTGCTCAAAATGCCAGATGATTCTTATGGCATTTACGGGGTATGTACAGAGACCCGGCATACTCATGCGCTATGTCGCCTGGAAACAGGTCAAGGTGGAACAAACAAATACAAGTACGTGTGGCAATAGCCTCTTGTGCATATACTTGTATGAGGAGAAATGCTGAGACTTGCTGCAAGACTTGCGAACTCAGTTGTGTGATGGTACTTGGGTCTATTTGGTGCAGCGCGTGTCTGACATGATCCTCCATGGCGACCTTGCATTGAAGCTTCAACGCACCGCTAATGTCCTTTTCGTAACTACTACTACTACTCTACTACTACTACTACTACTACTACTACTACTACCACTACCACTACTACTACTTCTACTACCACTACTACTACTACTACTACTACTACTACTACTACTACGACCACTACGACGACCACCACGACGACCACTACGACGACTACTACGACTACCACTAC